GAGAAAGTGAAAGTACTCACAGTCATTGTCTGCATTAGCAGCATTGAACAAGGACATGAAGCAGCAGGAACAACTCCTCATGGCTACACATTAGTGAAAATATTGGATTCAGCCCCAAAACAAAGGTGAGCAGCAAATGGTGCCAATGGAGAATTAGAATCTTTAACATGATCACCTATAGCTAGCAGTTTCCTTTAAATAACCTGGATTAGCTTTACTGTATAGAGCCTGTTGTGTTATCATTTCACCAGCTGTTCTTCTTGCATTGTGTGTTGTTTAGCCCCTTTTTTTAAAAATTAATTTTGATTTGTATTTAGGTTCAGCTCATCTGCTAGTAGACAAAAGATTATGTGACAGAAGTAACCACAGGAAGTTGCAAGTTTCCGCATTCAAGGCTACTGAAGACAAAGACGAGTGCTTCCCTGTGGTAAGAGACAGGTTATTTAGTCTGAAGACAACACATTTATACATATATATATATAAATACATACAAACACATGTATATCTATGTTTTTCAACACCTATGTCAATGGTTTTCACAATATGTTCAGTTGTCTGTGTTTCAGATTGCAGGGAGCAGCACTGTTTTATTCAGCCGCACCTTCACAGAAGGAAGTAAGCAGTGTAACAGTATGTGATACCTTTGAGCTTTTTCCAAAAAGACATCATAAACTTAATACTTTTATTTTTTTTTCCAAAATGCTTTTTTAAATATAAATAGATCTTATTATTGTTTGTTTGGATTAAAGCTAAACAACAACTAAATTTAAAAGAATTGAAAACTAATTTCAAATTTAAAACCAGAATTTGAAAATACATTCTCCTCCTGCTGCTATCCAATCTGCCGTAAAACTTCCTGCCTTTAATGGATGTTTTGAACCAGTTTAACACACAAAAAGATCAAACAACTTTTCAAGACGACTGATTAAGATGTTAAGTATCTAATACTGTGCTGAGGTCTAAGAGGACGAGAACTGAAACCTTATTTTGATTGTTTTAGTAAGAGCAGTTTCAGTGCTGTGGTGTGCTCTAAAGCCTGATTCAAATTCCTCCAGGATGCTATTCTCTTTAAAGGAGCTATATGTAAGAAATCTAAAGCAAATAGTTGTAAAATCATCCTAATATGTCACAGAGACGAAGGAATAATGTTCATATAACATACTGATCTCACCGACAACAATAGTACAGCCAGAATATTCACATTTAAAAAACATTTTTACTATACCTGCCAACAGTAGGCTGTGAAAAAGAGGGAGATTTTCTGGGGTAACGGTTGGAATGGCTGAATGGTTGGAATCCCCACCCGGGGGCATTGTAACAATGGATATTATTATTATTTAAGGCTCATTAAAAGTCATTTTGTTTACATATTTGTATTTATTGTATTCATATGGGTCAAGTTACGCCCCGGTCTAGGGGTGTGGGTGCTTAACATAAGGATACACAGGAACACAGGAGTAAATGTACAGGTGAGCAATTTATTGCTACACACTCTAAAAACACACTGTACAATATCGCACACAAAATGGAGCAAATGACATCAGGGTGAGCCCAGGCCAAAGCAACAAACAAAAAGCAACCTGTCTACCGACCAGCAAAATAACTGATTTCTAACAAAAACAAAAGAAACAAAAATACAATACTAGGCCTAACTCCCTAGGCTAACGAAAAACATGAGAAAACAGGTATAACAAAAATAGCAGCTCACCCCTACGCTCCGTGCAAACAATGATATGTGACAGTGACTATTTACAATATACACAAACGACTCAGTTGGCCCTAAGGCGCTGGTCTGAACAAAAGAAACAATTATTTAGCAAGGCAAGCTAAATAATCACACGTTAGTCACACAACAAAGTACTTATAAATCACAAAAACCAGAGAAACGATACAATGCCCTGCTGCCATGTAGGAGAGTGGGCTCGCGGCTTCCGTGTGGCCGGCATTATGAAGGCTGAGCCCCTTGCTCAACCAATCCAGCAGCGGTGATGTCACGCTCGTTATCCAGTAGCTGTTGACACTGAAGGCCAAGCCCCTTGCTCAGCCAATCCAGCCGTAGCGACGTCACGATTGTTGAGTGAATCACCGGCACACCTGTTAACAAGCATACGATCTCCGGACAGAAAGAGAGGTCTGACTTTCCACCAAACATACAGGTTAAATGCATATACATAGACATACACACATACACATAATAAATATACAGATCACAATGCACATATACACATAATGAATACACGGGCTGAGGGACGTAACAGCCCATATAACCCTACACCACAAATGAATACAATAAATACAAGTATGTAAACAAAATGACGAGCCTTAAACAATAATAATATCCATTGTTACAATGAAATGTGCAACAATGTACATCACAAAACGTGTGTTAAGTGCAAGTGCAAACATTGTGTGAGTGTGAGTGAGTGTGTGTTGTGTTGAGGAGCCATCATTGCCAGGAATACCTTTATCAGAAAGAACAGGAAGGAGTCTACAGTCTACTAGAAGGCAAACATGTTGAACAGTAACAACAAAACAACAACAAAACAGTGCTGTCAACAAATTCAGAGTGAAGTAAAGTCTCTAAACCCCACACCTCCGTCAGATGGTGTGTGTGTGTGTGTGTGTGTTTGTGCCTCCGACACACCTCTCAGCAAGAACGAGCTGATGTTAGCAGTTCCTCTCTGTGCCTCCACTGCCTGTGTGTGTTTGCTGCAGTTAGCGTGTTTACTAATGTCGTTTTCCCCGCCGTGTTCCCCACTAAAGTCGGCCCGACATAGCTTGCAAAACGCGTGGTACTTGCTGATGTGGCTAGCAACTAGAAAAGGGAAGGTCTGGCACCAACCAGGCTGAAATTTTGACGCATACCTCTTCTTTTTGGGAGCCGTTTCATTCATTTTCAGTTTGTAATGTTCCGCCTCAAGCTTGGGCATGGACATGAGCTTGAATGTGCGCAGTCACACGCAGCACGCACAGCACGTCGGGCGGGGCTGTTTGGGTTGGGTTGCCAGGTACTACCCCAGATAGCACACATATATCTGGCCGACGTCGGCCCGATGTATCAAGTTTAGATCATTAAGACGTAGCAGGAAGAGCGTTTGCTCATTGCTAAGACGTCGCCGAGACGTTGGCCTTTAATCGAAAATGACCACCACACGACGTTCAAACGATCAATAAAAGAAGCTGCGCTCAGTGGGCGCTCCTTCATAAATATTCATATGCTTCGTTAACTACGACCTTTATTCATTTAGGTCGGACCTTTCAAACTACAAATATTTCACCATTCAATGTGAGAAATCAGTGCTAACATTCAAAAATAGCTGACTGTTACCCTATTTTGTGTGTAAGTGTGCACAATGAAGAGACAAAAGTCAATTTGAGAAACTTTTTCAAATTTCCACAAACAATATCTGATGGCCAGTCCGCTTCTCCTGGCAGCCTGCAAGACACAGAAAAGATGATGAGCACGTAACTTCAAGAAACAAATCCCAACTTCACCACTGTATTTTTTTTTAGCATTTCAGCTGTCTTTTAGCCAGATTGAAGGCTTTGGGTCCGTCACTCTGCTTAATTTAGTGTTGAAACGGTTAAATAACGGGATCCGGCATTAACTCCGTTAACTGTTAACAGCAACTCAACAATCAGTCCTTCATCTCGGAAAAACAGTGGTTTCAAAACTGCGCTATTACCTGTAGCCACTGGGTCAGTTTGCTTTGCAGAGGAGAAGACCTCGACTGATAAATTGCCCATAAAATCACATTAACAACATACCGAAGGCATCCTTAAACTTCACTATTTCACCTCCCCGCTCCTCTCCGCTGGTCTCACCGACACTTGAGCACCTGTTCTGGGATACACAGTGTCAGCCCGCCCCGCCTTATCTCCGCGCTCCTCTCCGCTTCTCTCCCAGACACTTGAGCACATGTACAGGGCCCCGGAGGTCAGGCCGGGGGGTGCAGGACCACGGGTGGCAGCTCCGGGCACTTCCACTTTAACCCAAAACGAGCACTCACGATAACCAGATGAGCACATAACGTCAACTAGGGAAAATAAAATGAAAACACCACAGTTGTAGCCTGTTAGCTAACATGAGCTAAACCGCTAAACTAGCTATCAGCTAACGAAAGATAACGTTAGCTGGTGGGGACATGTGCTATATACACCCAGTCGTGCCTCGCAACTCACCAGGAACCTCTTTTAACGGTCACAGAAAAAACAACATAGCTATTTTCTGCCAATTTATTCCAGTTAGCTTACCAGAAACCAACTGCGATGAGATGCTGTGTCCTGCGAGCTCAGTTCCAAACAAACACCGCGGAGATGAAATTCCACCTCTGTCGAACACCAGCATAAAAATGCTGTAGGTACTGGGTCGATACAAGAGGTGGAGGAGTTACACTGACTGACAGCCTTGTAAAGCTCTGGTCATGTAATACAGCTGAATGACATGCTCAGAAGTTATGCCCTTTTGTTGGGATGTTTTGAATCCTTATGTTTTGTCTCTAGTCAGACAGGTATCTAAAGACTTCTGCTTTACAGGCAAAACTGACCACTAAAACTTAAAACTCATTATTGTATGTAATTTGCTCCATAAATTGATCCTTACTTCTTTTCTATTGTCTTTGACAGTCAGTTCACAGCTGTAGAGAAGTTCGCAGATTGATTGTTTGACATCCTTTGAACCTGCCCAAAGTTCAAAATGACCACACCTGTGCGAATTGTGAAAGTCCTGAAAGAACACCTGGACGAGCTGATTGAGGTGGAGCTGAGGACATTTCATTGGTACTTGGCCCAGAATGTGAGAGAAGGATGCAGATCTATTCGGCGGTCCCAGCTGGAGAACGTGACCAGAGAGGGAACTGTGGATAAAATGGTGCAGGTTTATGGGAGAGACGGTGCTGTGGAGATCACAGTGGACATTCTCACAAGGATGAATCATAATGACCTGGCAGTGAGGTTAACTCAAGGTAATGTGTCTTAGTATGGCTTGGTTACCTCTGAGCAGGGTCAGTGTTTTTATGAAATAGATCATAAATATGTAGAGAACACAAGTGTTTATGCATCTATACTGTAAGTTTATTGTGTAGCTGTGACCATTTCTGATGAGGCGTCACTCTGTAACTGTTGCTCTGAGCTTCATGTGAAGCAGAAAGAGAATTAATGTTTCAGTGTTTCATGTTCTATATATATTATAACTCCCACTGATGAACCTGTGACTGAATAACAGCTGTAGTATTTCTTAACATTTTGTTTACTTGATTTACAGTCATAATGGAGGCAAACATGGAACAGCAACCGAATGAGCCGTTGTCCTCCAGAGATGCAGATTGGACTCAGGATCTTTCTTGTTTAATTTGTTATGATATTTTCACGGAGCCTGTGAGCCTGCAGTGTGGCCACAGCTTCTGTAAGACGTGTGTGCATGACTAT